TAACAGTCCCACAAACAGTGCAGACACACATTCTTGCTTGCACTATTGTATACACAAATACACAGCAGTATGCATTCATTTAATGAATTTTCAGGCTTTAACTCTAGCTTTCACCCTCACAACTACATGACCAGCTGTAACCTGTACTGTGAAATTGTAACTGTGAAGGGGGGCTCCACCCAGAATCTGTCTTTTAACTCAACACTCACCTGTTGTAAGGTTGAAAGTTGACCAAAACGTTTGCAGCTTCTACACTTATGGAGAACAACAGCTGTGCTCATCTGAAAGTCAGGCAGTTATCATATATTCCCAAAGTTTACAAATAAAATCTATGGGATATTTGGGCCATAAGAGTTTCCTAGGTTTTTTTTTGTGCTGTAATATTTTGTAACCGCTGAAAATTACTGGAACTAGTTGAATTCACTAGCTGGTTGCTGTCAGTGAGGAAAGCAGAAACTTTACAGCCAACACAGGAAATTAAGGTCACTCAAAATGTCCTCAGTTTGCCAAAAAAGATCTGTATTTTGAAAGCTGAAACTGAAAGATAGAAAACACACACACCATGTGCTACCAGCTGTGGCCTGTGCCTAAGCTCAGATCCAACTGTGTGTTCCTGTAATACAATGGTTCATTATTCAGAGCCACACATACACACACACACACACTCTCATACAATGGGGCAGCCTCAGGCCATCAGATTAGTGAAGATTGACCCTTTCCCCACCCTAAAGCAACTTTGCCTTTTCTCTTGACCAATCAAAATGGTGGGTTGGCAGAAAGTGTAATGTGAAACCGGGATCTTGGCTCAACACTTCAAACCTGGGGCACAGTTGGAAGCCAACAGAAACAACAGCCGTAGTCTTTCACACTCTCTCACTCACAGATTTCCCTTAATTTGTTATACCCAGACGCATTCTGCTTACAAATACCATCTGCTGCATACCCATTCAGTTTCATTCAGCAAGATACATTCACTTCAGAAAGCTTGTGGGATTTACACTATGCACTGCCGCTATGGATTGATCATTTTGGTGGCTGGCTGTATATGCTACAGACTGGATTAGCCTCAGTCTAGCCTACCTGGATGCACCAAGGACATACTGTACTAACTTGCTAGCTAGTTATGTTGTCACAGTCTGTTGGAGCTAGTTAAAGAGCCTCTGTATCTGCATTAGACTACAGGGCCCTCTTTCTATGTGGAGGGTGGATGATGCAGTATGTGCCTCCTTCCTCTCCCCTCAGCTGAGCTCCGGATCCCCCTGTAGCTGCGAGGTTGGCCCTGAAGGGACAAAGAAGAAGAAACCCAAGAACCTGTAAGTACTGCAATTGAATCTGATTGTTGTGTGATTCCTTTCTGGGGTCATTTTCACTTTTACTACTAACTCATTTTGAAAGTTCTGACCTGTGACAGTATGAAGCCATATTTTAGAAAACAATACTTTGACTTTTATATCTAAAATACAATTAAAAATTGATAGTTAATGTATGAGAGAAAAAAAAGCAGCTATGGAAATGACAGTGAGTGAGAGGCAATACAGTGATGGATCTCTCATTGTCCTGACAACTACCACTGCATTAATCACTTCTGTTTTCAGTTCAGTCATTAATCGTTTATTGTTAAGCTAATTTAATCAAATGTATCCAGTAAAAGGGTCAAAGTTTCACACTCTGCTTTACCATCCTATTTTGAAAGGATGTCATTACGTGTGTCCCAACTAATGACTTAATTTATAGAAGCCAATGGGGGTTAATTGAAAGATCAGCACTTATTCTGACAATGTGTTAGCATGGATGTGATTGGTTAGTGGGCTGAACACAGTAAAACATATCCACCCTGGGGTGAAAACATTTCAATCACATTTTGATTGATTTAGGGGATTTTAGTTTTCTTCTCAGTTTGGGACACTGCCCCTAATGTAAGCCTTAATGTTACATTGGCATTTCTAGTATGTTTTATGCTAAAATTGGCAGTGAGAGTTAATGCTGATAATTTACCAGTGTCTATCTGCTTAATTAGATGGTAAATTGTGTTCGTCTGAGACGAGCAGTGCCATATGTGCCTGTCACATTCTCTGTGGTGTGAAATATAAGGTGTGTGTCTTGAGAGCGTTTGTTTGGATGCATTTATGTGTCAGATGTGAGTTGACGCCTTACCGATTCTTCAGCTGTTGAATGAGCCTGTTTCGCGCTCCTGTTCATCAAGGTGAAAGCACATTTCACACCACAATGACAATAAAGCCACTCACAGTGACTGTCCTTGGGCCTGATAGCTAGCTATTCCTTTTCACAAGCTGCGTTTTTATGTTGTTTAGTTAACCAAGAGATTAAGTGATAAAGATTCCTCAGCTTCCAAGTATGTTGCCTTTTTGTAAGCTGTTGCAAAGAGCGTCAACCCCCCTTTATTTGCCTCAATAAAACAGACTTCACAGAATGCAGCATTGATTTATAGGTGTGTGTAAATATGTTTTTCCTTTAAAATTTTGTTTTGTATACATGTTATTTTTTGTCATTTTGCTATAATTTCCCTGCTAGGTGCAATGCCAGTTTTGTAAGGTAGATTTGATATGAATAAATACATGTGCTTATGGTATTCAACTTGGAGTCACAGTCTTAAAGTTTTAGATTTGTGTTACAAAAGGCCATTAGAGAGTAAAACACAGTGAAGTAAGATAAAATCCACCCATTTGGTAGATGTTTCTTGAGCAGTAGTATTGGGTGCCAGCCATGGACAGTTAGAGGTGATGAGCTCCATCTGTCTCATGTTTCTGTCTAACACTTTGGATTTATCTCACTATGGAAATTAGTGGACGTGTTGCTATAAACACTCTTCTTCTTGTCTTACTACAATTATCATTAGTGGCAGAAGATGTAAATAGTGTGCATGTTTCACTAAGAGGTGAAATAGTAGTTGAACATTACATCCTCTCTTTAAAGTTTCCACTTTTCACTGCTACAAAGCACTTGGCCACAGCACAGTGAATCCATTGTTTCCTCTATACTCATGCATCATTTAGAACAACAAAGACGGTCTGGTCCTTGACTTCCTAAGCATTGTTCTTCTTCTCCTACACATCTTTTTCCTTTTCTCTGTACATGCTTACATTTTCTCCATTCCAGCACTTCCTTCACTTTTTTCTCATCTCCTTGTTGCACACTTTGCTCCGAGTGTCTAGTTGTGCTGGTTCAGTGCATCTGTTTTCCTGAGATTGTGCTTCTGTCCCCCCCCATTATCACCTTTTGTTATTACTCAGTCCAGGTGTCCTGCTTCTTTAAGAAACGGATCCCTGCGTAGCTACACTCTTTTTTTTTCTCCATCCAGTGGTTTGCAACAAGTAGGAAACCTACATCAATAAGAGTGTGTGCATGATAAATTATGACATTTGTGGCACATTAACCCTTTACTGACAACATTTGGATATGAATAACTCAGTTATTAGAACTGGTATCCAACTTTGATTCATAAAATCAGGAAATAGAGACAGATGGAGAGGGCAGAGAAGAACTGAGCACAGCGCTGACTGTCTATTAGAACCACAACACCAATTGCCATCTGTGTGCTTCTGCTTCTGCATTTGAACTATGCACGTTTCTACTCTATATATTATATATACATATGTACAGCATATATTAAGATATCATTTGACATATTCTTGTCATGTAATTCTGATTTTGTTCTATCTCTAGTAGCAGTCCCAGGCTAATAATTAATATCATTTGGCTGCCAAGGTGCAGGTAAAGCTTTTTTTTTGTGCTATGAAAGGCCAAGGCAAAAGTTATTTTGTAGTTAGACATGATTTGCACTGACCTTGTTGCAGTTTTGATATTATGTTAAGTGCCTAAAGGTGTACGGAATTAAAGATAACTGGACTTCCTGAAAGTGGAATTCTGCATCTCCTAATTAAAAGTATAAAATAAAGACTAAGAAAAAGCAACTGAACAAAGTGTGGACATCCCTTTTAGGTTTAACTGGCTGGAACATCTAACGATTGTTTAAACTGATGAAGTTATAAATCTCTTCAAAGCAAAAGAGAAATCCATTTTTGTTTGGCTTCAGCTGAATTTATAGTGAAAGCAAGGGGCTAACAGGCATTCTTTTTTTTTTTTGATTTGTAGTTTGTGTATTCATCGTATAAAAGCCAGTAGCAGCTAATATAATTTTGCTAGCTTCAAACAGAGATGAGGACAGAGCTACAGAGGTCTGTTGACCTCGCTAGTTTCTAATGCCACACTCCCTGATATCTTAAATGTTCAAGCTTTCATTCCCAGCCAATGCTAACGCAAATGATGTTACTTGAGGCAATTCTTCAGACTTTGTGCAGCTTTCTTTTGAGCCACAAAAGACTTTTTTTTTTCAACTATGCAATATTTTTCAACATATGTAAAGAAAGTCCCTCCAATTATAATCCAAGCAGTAACTTTCTTTGTTATATAAAGCGATTGCAGGGTGCACTTGTGCTGTACTCATAGAGCTGGACTAACATTTAAAGATAATGAAAGCACAGTGTTTACATTCATTCACTGACAGAAAGGTGATCACACTGAACAGGTTTAGGTTTTACTAGATGTGAGAAAGCTCATTAGCTTTGTTTTCATTTCTTAATGTTGTTTTTTTGTTATCAAATATGTCTACCTACAATGGGAACATGAGCAACCTATGCTACCAATCACAATTCTTGTGTCCTCCGTGTGCTGTCTCCTCCATTTGACAGCTCCGTTGTGAAACCATATCTACACTGCACACACAACCATAAATCAAGCATTAGCATTTCTAGTTAAGGTTATAATATAATGTGTAAAGCTTGTCTAAAGTCCCTTATATTTAAAAGAATATGAGTCACACTATAATTTTTTTTTTAGATTTATCCATTATGAGTACCTTACTGAAAATATTAAATTGGATTCTGACAGAGTCATAATACAGCAAAAAACTTTACTTTTAGTCAAGTCTTATAAATAAAGTTTATTGCTACAACAAGCATCCATTGCAGAGAAACTACAAAAAAAAAAACAAAAAAAAAAAACATGGCATTTTGATGCGTTAAGTCTTCCTTACAGCCTGGTAGCAGATTTAACACCAAGCTCCCCCTCTGCTTGCCAGTTGAGACAGATGAGCAGATTATTCCAGTGTTAGAAATCACTTCTTTTGCTAAAGAGACAAATGTCATTCCCTCACTAACCCATGAAGCTAAAAATCTGTCAAAGAAACACTGTGTGGTGATTGGTTGAGCCCAGGGTCCGCCTTCCTCAGTCCCACAGAACTATATAAAGCTTCAGCTCCTCTCGGGGGGTTAGAGGAATGTAATTGTCAAACAAACCCCTGGGCCCCGAGCACACCAGCAATCCTGACACACACTTACATGCAGTCAGTGACCTGAACCTGCTTACAGGCTGGCACCCATGTTTCACACTATGGTTGATTTCTCAGAGAACTACCTGGAAAGGTAAGAGTAAGGCAGTGGATGCATGTGTATGTATGGGTTTATCTGTGTGTTGATTTTTGTTATCAAGAATTAGAAACATCAGAAGGAAGGGTGAGGAAAGTGTGAGTGGTGGACTGTTTTACATCCCACAGGAATCGTTGTTCTAGAGCTGGTAGTAACCTGTACATGGCTCTCATCTGACAGTCGCAGTGAAGGAGTAGAATCCCCTTTGAGGCTGAAATGCTCAAACTATTTTGGAGAAAGCAGCTTCTAACTTGCCCCTTTTTTCTTATTATATGCAGCCTGAATTTCAGGAATAGGATTGCTCATGTGGTCTTTGTGGCTAGGAAGGTGAGTTTGCCCGGAAATAGAGCTCTTTTTTTAGAATTAATTGAAAGAGACTATAAATGGTGTTATATTTATGGGAAAAAATAGGGCAATTCCCTTTTTCATTGTTCTTCTAGGAACATTGTGGAGTGACTTTCTGTTGGTTATGAGGCACTTTATACATCTGTAGAGAAGGCATGCCTTTCACCTTCCTATTGTGTTACATTTAACATTTATGGATACATCTCTGGACTGTTCTGCCTGTGAAGAAAATACAGGACAAACACTTATAATTTGTCCCCATAGCTCGTACAGTGTCAGTGTTACAAACACACTGATACAACACTTTACCTATAATGCTTGCACAGACAGGTGCACAAACACTCACAAAACCAAAAAAGGGCTTGTGTGAGTGAATGGGTGAACAATGTTCTGAGTATGCTTCGGTACATAGAGAAGCACTATACAAGTAGAAGTCCATTTACCATTTACCAATGTGGGAAACAAAGCCTCATGTAGCAACCAGAAAAGTAGGATGAAGAGAGGCAGTGGATTTGGCTTGTGCCTTGTGTGATCTGCAGCATGTCTGTCTGCAGTTCCCCCCATGTGCTCCCAGAGCCTTTCCCTGGGAGTGCGGCCTACTTTTCAGAACACCAGGAATAGCCAGTGGGGTGCTATTAGTGCATCTAATGTGAGCCAAGCAAAGAGGGAATAAAAAGCATGGAAACCTGTGGATAATTGCAGCACTGAAGTCCTCTTGCTGCATCACTCAAGCACATAAAGTGGCCTACTGTGCCTTGTACAGACACAAGCAGGCACTAAGGTGTGCATGTTCACATTGTGCCATGTACTGTGAATGTGGACATGCTGTATATAGTTTGCTAGTGGGTCAGTGGAGAACATATCTGGATAGAAGCTCATTAGATCATTTTATTTTGATACTCATCTACAGAGCATGTGTCCCTTTTTAGGGGTTGCTGCATTTATTGTAATAACTCAAATGGAGTGTGATATTTAGCTATTAGCATTAGTGCTGGGGATGTATTAATTAGTAATGAGGAGGAAAAAGTGGTACTCGAAGTGAAAGACCATGAGAAAAGGCATTAGCACACAAAGAGCAAAGAACTTGTGTAAATCAGGTAAAACCTCATGTACAAATACAATGCCATTAAAAAGTGGCTTTTCTCTAAACTAGACTTAAGTGCAAGATTATTTTCTGATAGTAAACAAAACTGAAGAAAATGTGTACATGTGATTTGTTACTGTTGTTGTTTTGTGTGTGAAAATGGGAGGCTTTGTTGGCATGAAGACTGCTTTCTCCTGTTTTAAGTCTGAGTTAAGGTCAAGGTCAAGTGTTTATTGTCATATGTGAAACGTGGAAACGTGTTTCCCTGTACAATGAAATTCTTACTTTGCTGTAGGTGACGTAGGGTTTAGAGTTTCAGAGGTTTTATTCAAACAAATGCAGTTTTCCCTTTGTTAAGGGAATTAATTATAAGGTAGCTGGTTTTGCAAAAGCTCTACATCTAAACAGGCATGAATGCACTCTTCTGCTTTACACTGTTGAAAGAATGTGTCTTTGCCCACATTGAGGGAGGAGTGTTATGCAGCCCTCCTTCAAGTGGAGTTTCTGTCAACTCCCACTGAGCTAATAAACACAGAGATTCAGGCGGTTTCATTTGTGGGTGTATCAAGCGAGTTGACATGCAGGAAGAAACACTTTGTCTCAGCTAAGCTCCAGAAACCTCCTGCAGTGTATATATATATCTCTAGTTTTCAAGAACAGTGCTGGTGTTGTATCTGAGTATTTGTTTTTCCAGTGTTTATGCATCTATTAGAAGTGAAAGTAGGCTTTACAAGCAGTCTGTGCTGATGTATGAACTGTTTGTGTTTGCAATATCTATTGACACCCACATGGTGGCAGGATAGAAACATACATTGACTGTTATTATGGCATCATTGTCACATCATTTCCACTTGAGCTCAACGTTTATCAAACCAGATACAAATAATAAAATTTCCTTTGTCAAAAAAAATATTTTCCAGCCTTTCTCACATGTACTGGCAAGACAGAGGCTGTCTTACAGCTCCAGACCTAAGTGCCTCGAGTTCACCCTAAAAATAGAACGATCTGTTAATTCCTTCTCTGAATTTATGAGTTTATTTGACAGCAAGAAAGTTTTTATTTGGGTAATGGTGTCCTTCGGCCTGCCAAGTTTGAGTTATTCACAGACATTCTGCATTAGTCTTTTGTTTCCATAAAAAGAGACTTGAATTGTGTTCAGCAGTTTAGCATCTGTTTCTGTAGGACACTTATTTTATTTCAATCAATGGATGAGTCATCTCTCCACCAGTGACATTTTAAAAGTTGAAGTATTCCTTGAGATTAACAGAACAGGAATTCATAATGAAACTTGGCATTTCTATTTTTGGAGTGTTTTTTGTTCTCACTGTTTCCTTTTTTATTGTTATCCTCACAGAAAAACATCAATTTCTTCTGTTACCTTGCCTGAAAGATGAACAAAGCTTTCACAAGGATTTTTTTTTCCCAGCTGTCACACCAGATGCTTTTAGTTTTTCATTCTGCATTTACATTTGTAAATAACAAATCTGCCTGTTTTTTTCTGATAAATCTGAGGAATGCTTTCATAAAAGGCCCATTGTAGTTGTCTGAGCCAACAAAAGCAATCTGCACCAGTCCACCTCAAAAACATTAAATCAATACAACCTACAAAGTCACACCCATCTTGATTTCCAGCAGCTCTGGCATTCCTTTTCATGTGTATTGACCTCTTTCTACCTTTCCTGTCATTGCAGCAGTTGGAAAAATTTGCATTTGACAGCTGACTGTATTGTCTGTTCAGTTGCTGCGTGTGGCCACTTCACATTTACACATGCATAAATTACCTCTCTCCTGTTTCCCTTCGCATACACATGCACACACTGAGGCAGACGGGCAGTTCTTCATCACCTGTGACTAGCATGAAAGCACTAGTGAAGTGGCACAGGTGCAGGGGTTGTTCTTTGAAATATTTGTGTGGGTGTTCTTTCATCTCCAACTGAGTATAATTCACATATAGTATTTGTGTCAATCTGCAGTTGTGTATTCTTTTGCCTCCCTGTCTGGCATGTTTTAATGATACATATCTATAATTGGAAGCCATGTTTCCTAATTTGAGGTGTACATGCTCTCCTGGGGGTTGTTGGTTGGCAGTGGGACAGCTTGCAGTAATTAGGGCCAGCGAGCACATATTGCCACATTGCATTATTAGCGGGCCGGCCAATCCACAGTGGAAATCAAAAGCAGCGACTCAGGAAATGGGTGTTGAGTGAGGTCACATCCCAATGAGGCAGCACGTGCTCCAGGTCGAGAAAAGACAGGACACATATCATGGGATTATGGGCATATGCAGAATTCTTCTGGGCCCCACTGGGATCAAGGGTTGGTTCATTAGCCTTATCTCAGATTTTAGGGCATGAATGCATTTGATAGATGGTTATAGAAAGGTGAAACAGGTGAGGTGGGCAGTCAGGAGGAGTGAGGAGGTCACTGTACCCTGTTGTCTCAGCTCTGGGTCCACTTCTTCTCAGCAACCCCTATAGGCACATGGAGAATGGTGTGATGAAGCAGCAGAGTGAAGACTGAATCTCTCTCCTCCTTCTCTGCCACATTCACTCAGTCCCTGCCGAGGAACCTGCCAGGGTCACATCTGCAGGAAAGACTGTGAGAGATACTAAATTGACAGGAGACACGCTGACACAAAGCGAGGAAAAGGAGCTTGGCAACTACCTTCTGGATAAATTACTGTCCCATCATACCACCATACCAGGCTGAAGACTAAAATGTACACAACATGACATTTATTTCAATCTTTTTTGGCATTTGAGGGTTTGATTTCATATGGATTGGACTTAGATTACTGCCGAACTTAACTGGTGATTCCCATACCATGGATTGTTGCAGTTTTGGACTTGGAATTTTGGGACAACACTTTCATCCATCTCTCTTTTTGTCTGCCTCTATCTACTTGATCATTTCTTTCATTTTTCTTTCACTTTTGGTTTTTTCCTGCCTCAACTTTCCCATCCTTCGCTTGCTTCCGTATTCATAAATCTTTCTTTCACTCCTTATTCTCCTACCAACTCTTTCCTTCTTTCTTTCACTCAGGGCCAAAGACATGAAGAATCGGCTGGCTTTCCTGCGGAGGAGGAATGAATCTCCAGGAAGCAACCCAGCCAGCAAGTTAGACAAATCTATGAAGTCAGTCAAGTAAGTGACCACTTCCTAAAAGCATGTGGGTGCATGTGAGACTGTTTTCCAAGTCCCACTACAGCTGGTGGTGACCTGTTCTAGAGAGACAGACATGTGGGCAGTAGAAGAGATGGGAGTTACCTTGTAATGTTTGGCAGTAATAAAATAAAGGAAGAGAGAAAATAAATTTTTATGTGTTTTTTATGATCTGGAAAAATATATTTACAAAATTAAATATTTTGATGTCAAATATTTCATATATGAAGTATGATAAACTAACATTACCTGAAGCTAACAAAAAAGTAAAAG